CCGCCACCACACCCTTATGGCCACAAGAGGTCTCGGCAGAAGAGCAGGGAGAACTGCTCGCCGCTCAAGGCTGCATACACCCCACCTGGTGTGGAACATGAGGTGGTGCGGGACCTGCCACCCATGCTGGCAGGAGAGGGCTTCACGGTGCCCATGGTCCAGAGGCACGAACACCACCACCACCATGAACACCACCACCACCACCACTACCACCACTACCACCCGTCCTGATGTAGGTACCACCACAAGCACCATGCCCACCATCACTACCACCATGACCGTGAACGCCAGCACCACTTCCAACTGTCGACATAGCCTTCAGCACAAGCACCATGACCAGCATTGCTACCACCATGGCCACCACGACCATGAACACCACCGCCACCACCACTGCCACCCATCCTGATGTAGCCATCACCATGAGCACTGTGACCACCATCACTACCACCATGGCCATCACCACCATGAACACCAACCACCACCACTGCCACCTGTCCTGATGTAGCCATCACTCCCACCATGAGCACCGTGACCACTATCAACCACCATGAACACCACCACCATGAACACCACCGCCACTACCACTGCCACCCATCCTGATGGAGCCATCACTCCCACCATGAACACCATCACTGTGATCCGTCCTCCACCGTGAACACCACCACCAACAACATTGCCACCCATCCTGATGTAGCCATCACCATGAGCACTGTGACCACCATCACTACCACTGTGGCCATCACCACCATGAACACCAACCACTACCACTGCCACCCATCCTGATGGAGCCATCACTCCCACCATGAGCACCGTGACCACCACCACTACCACCACCACTGCCACCCGTCCTGATGGAGCCATCATTCCCACCATGAACACCATCACTATGATCTGTCCTCCACCGTGAACACCAACAACAACAACACTGCCACCCATCCTGATGTAGCCATCACCATGAGCACTGTGACCACCATCACTACCACTGTGGCCATCACCACATGAACACCAACCACCACCACTGCCACCTGTCCTGATGTAGCCATCATTCCCACCATGAGCACCGTGACCCCTATCAACCACCATGAACACCACCACCATGAACACCACCTCCACTACCACTGCCACCCATCCTGATGGAGCCATCACCCCCACCATGAGCACCATCACTGTGATCCGTCCTCCACCGTGAACACCACCACCAACAACACTGCCACCCGTCCTGATGTAGCACCACCACGAGCACCGTGACCACCACCATACCCACCATGACCACTAGTGCCATGAACACCACCACCCCTGCCATCTCTCCCACCAAGAGCACCACTAACAGCCATCCTCACGTAGCCAACATCACTGCAACTATGACGACCATTGCCATGAGCACCACCAATACCAGTTCTGAAATAGGTACCGTCACTCCCACCATGAGTGCCACCACTGTGACCCATCCTGCACCCCCACCACACCATGAGCACCACCACCGCCACCACCACTGCCACCCATCCTGAGCGCAGCTGCAGCCCCTCAGCGTCCTCTGGCCTTGGGCACAGGCATGGCAGTGGAGACCTTGGGGACCGGGGATGAGCCCCTTTCACGAGACGGTCGACAGACACGTTTGGTGAACACGTTAGATGCCCCTGGCGTCTAGCTGCAAGGCTCTGCTGGGTGTTCCCAAAGGCCGCGTGTGAGTGTAGGAGGCGTGTCTGTTCCTGTGTGTACGGCGTGAGCCCGTCGTGACAGAGGGCCTCTGCCCGGCCCGCCCACTTTCCACGGGGTTCATCTGGCGCCCTGGCCTGTCCCCAACGCCAGCAGTGGTGACACCTTTGAGTGCATGCTGTCGCTCCAGGCTGGCCTTTGGGCACAGCAGCCTTCTGCAGACTCGGGAGGGCACGGGACACACAGGAGCAGCCCCTCAGGGCACCTTGTGGGCGACAAGCGGAGGAGGATGCCCAGGTCCCAGTCAACGGGAGTAGGCAGCAGCATGGGGAAGCAGGCGCTGTCGCAGGCCACGTGGCGCCAGCTCTGAAGGGGACACTGGCATCGGCAGCAGCCACGTGGGAGGAGCCCCCCTGAAATGAACAGAGAGCTGGTGAGACAGGCCACCCCCGCACACAGAGACGAAAAGCGAGGGTCCGGGTGCAGGTGGCCGAGCCCTGTGGCACGGCGCCCCAGTGCCCGGCTGTTGGCAGGAACACAGTTCCCTCTGTGTCTTCCTTGGGGGTCCAGAAAGGGTGCGGATGGGGGCACCTCACGGCCAAGCGCTCCACTCGAGGCGGGAAGCCGGGCGGCTCTGCCGCCCTCCCAGAGCAGAGAAGGCCCTGGCTGCTTGTGGCCTTGTGGGGGCTCTGCCTTGGCTTTCTTTTTAAGGATGGAACAAACGGATGGTCACCCTTTAATTGCAGGGTTTTCCCAGGCCTAATAAAGTATGTGTCTTTGTAATATATCATGCCGGGTTTTCAAACATGACCTGCAGTTAGCGGGTCTATATCAGTATAGGGCCGTGGGGACGGACAAAAAAAGCACCCAGCTGTGGTGGGTGCTGTTGGACAGGAGAAGGAAAATCAACACGTCTACAAACCCACGCATCCCGTAGTGATGGACAAACATGGCCCCACACACACATGCACCCCCTAGTGATGGGCGAGTGTGGCCCACTGTACACACGTGCAGGCACATGCACCCGTAATCGCCCGCTGTACACACGTGTGGGCCTATGCACTCGCAGTGATGGACGAGTGTTACCTGTTTGGGGCTCTCAACGAAGGGAAAAGCACGCCTCTAAGGCAGCTGCAGCTTGGGACAGCAGGATCCCCGGCAGACCACCCTGAGTCAGACGGAAGGACCGACTGAGAAGTCGGTCTCTCACCTCTGCAGGAGTGGACGCAGCCCCAGCTTGGCGCCCTTCCCCAGGCCCTGGAGAGCCGGCCAGGAGAAGGTCTCAGATCCCAGCACCTTGGGCCAGCAGGGCTAGTACACAGAAAGCTGTGTGGCCAGGGAAGGGCTGGGACCCCAGAGGGTTCTGGGGGTGGTGCCAGCTGCCAGCAGGGCAGGAGGCCTGCAGCCACTGCTCAGCAAGGAGACGCTGGGTCGGGGTTCTGCTGAGCCCACTGCGGTCGGGGGTCCCAAGTGTGACCTAGACTGGATTCCAGATCAACTCTCAGGACCTCCCCCCATGGCTCCCCAGGGTCAACCTGGTTCAGCGAGACTGTCACACCTCATTATCCCTGAGGGTGCAGGCTGCCACGTGTGTTTATGTTTGCATTTTCCTTGGGGGGATGTCTGTGTCTGCTGGGGTCTGTCTAACAGAGCCCTTCATCATGGCAGACATATGTAGCAGCACCAGGCACGATTCCACACCACTCAGTCCCCGGGGGCAGAGGGACCCCGTGTGACACCCACTGTCATCAGACCTCCCACTGCAATAGAACGCCTCACTGCCAGTGAGCTCAAGGTCACTCACTTAACTGGGGATGCGGGAGGTCCCCCAAGAATGTCTCATTGAGATGCGCTGAGAGCCGCTCACTTATGTGGGGGTACAGGGGCCCCCTCGAGTTTCCATCATTTCTGTGCTTCACCGTCTTCCTAAACTCCCCCTCTGCTGAAGACACCACAGATGCTCCATGAAGATGTCACCCCAGGTTGTCCAAGTGCCCACCCCATGAGGGTGGTGCAGGGACATCTGGGTGCCCCTCCCTGCCCCCTTCGCACCCACCGCCCCTGCCCCCTCTGCGGCTGCTGGTCCACGTCTACAACCCCACAAGGCACCTTGGGGACAGGTCAGCATTGTACCTCTCAGGGCTGTCACTGTGGGGGCAGCCTCTCTTTCAAGCCTCTGTCTACCCATCCTCCCAGCCTGGAGGACAGACGGAAGGTGAGAACTGGAAGGGGAGCCCTGGGTATTGGCCTGACCGTTCATTCTCACGGAGAGGGAAGCCTCCTGGGCAGCCATCCGGGGACCGATGTCAGGCATCTTTGGGCCAGAGCCTGACCCCTCCTCCCAGCTCTCAGGACACCCTGAGCCTTTCTCCCAATGCCCCGCCAACCTCGCCTCCCCGTGCACGCACTTCCCTTCCTACCCTCTCCCCACCACCCCCACGGGGCAACACCAGCCCCCATGGCTCCGCCATACGCACCCACTGCTCCAAGGATGGATCGCTGCACCCTTGTGGGGTCCTCGCCCTCTGAAGCCCCAGCTCCCCCGCTGTTCACAGGCGAGTCCTCTGCCCCAGGGCCTTTGTACACGCTGTCCCCTGCCTGGCTGCCCTCTCATGACTCCCTGCCCATGCATGGGGCCTGCTGGACGCTGGTCTGCACCTCGCCATGCCCACCCACAGGAAGGGAAGGGGATCATGACCCATGGGCTCTGCCAAGGGCTCTGGCCGGCCTCTGATAGTCTCAGGGGCATACCTACCCAGACCCACAAGAGGTTGGGGGTCTCTCCCATCTCGGGGCTCTGCCTAGATGGACCACCCTTCCTCCATCTGAGCCTTTCTCAGGTATTTTCAAGCACAGAAGCCTCAAAGCCACGGTTGGGGGTTGGGGGTGTCTCGGTCTTAGTAATTTGGGAAATGGTGTGTGGTCATCTTTCATCTTGGCAAATAACAGTGTTCCCTAAACTACGTTTAAAGTTATTTGTGGATTGAATAGGGCTGCCCAGACAATGTCTTCAACTCCAACCCCATTGCCTGACATGACTGTTTAGAAATAGGGTCTTTGAAGGTGTTATTGGTCAAGGTGAGATCCCACTGGAGTGGTGCTGTGTAAGAAGACGTCACACACGACGGAGGCCGCCCTGTGGAGGTGCAGCCGTGAGCCAAGGGATGCCTGGGCCTTCCAGTGCCAGGAGACAGGGAAGGACCCTTCCCCGGAGCCCTCAGCAGAAGCACCGCCCTTCACACCCCGAATCCATGTTCTCAGCCTCCAGGACCATGACACAACGCATCTCTGTCATCACAAGCCCCCCACTCAGTGTTACTTTGCCACAGCTGCCCCAGGACACTTAGACACGTTCAACATGGACTGTGAGGGCACATGGCATCTCTGCCCTGGGCTGACCAGGCTGCCAGTGCCTGCTTGGCCACAAACCAGCCGTGGTGGATATCTCAGGCCCTGGGCTGAGTCAGGGCCCGCAACCCAGGACAGGCATTCGCTCTCTCCCCTGGGCTCTCCACGGCACCTCAGACCTCAGCCCACATCTCACCCGTGTGTCTCACCATCCGCAAAGCAGTGACCACGCCTCCCTCCTGCCACTCCAGGCCTCTGCTCACCCTGGTGCCTCAGCCCAGCGCCTCTGCCGCTGGCCAGGCCTCCCCGCTCCCTGGCTGCTCCTAGGCTGTGGACGCCCTGGCACCGCTGGGCACTTGACTCTGCTCTTGAGGTCTCTCCAACGGCCTGAGAGCCGGAGCGGTGCCCTAACACCCAGCTGTGCTTCACCCCAGGGAAGGCCCAGTGCAGACCCGGTACAG